ATAAGTATGATTTTGAAGGTTAATGTGATTGTATTAAAAGTGCTTAGGGAGGTTAGTCACTATATCCAAATATATCCTACCCATCCCTTAGCCTATATTACAACCAAGTGAAGTCCTAATTGATCTTAGACTGAATAGGCTCGATTAGTAGAGTAGTAATACGGGCAAGCCTATGGTGCATCTTTGTGGCATGTGAATGTTCTTTTTGAGAGTGAGCGAATTTTTTCCATCTGAGTTCCTAATAGTTCTTAATAATATTTATTGTGGAACTACTCTCTTGTGTGATGTGAGGGAATGTGATTCGCGAAGGAAAGGTAAGTCTTGACCTCTATATAGAGTAGTTTGAGTAAGTATGAATATTGCACAGCGCGTGAGATTCGACTTTTGAGGCAAAGGTTGTTCACTACTCGGTACAGCTTTGGTGAATTGTTCTTGGTGTGATACGTTGAGGGAAAAGCTTGGGGAAGGAATTTTGATAGAGTGTGGTGGATTGCTCGAGGACTAGCAATGATTTAAGTGTGGGATGTTGATAATAGGCTACATAGACGATATTTATACCCTAATTATACCATGCTTTATTGTTGTTTTATAGGCTAAATGGTAACAAAATGCTCTAATTGGTGTTCTTTTGCTTCGCAGGGAATAATCCAAGTTAGGAAGAACTATAGAGTGTTTTGGAGTCATTATTGTGAAGAAAATGCCAAATCAAGAAGCACCCGAGCGGAAAGGAGAAAAAAGTGGACTGGGCTAAAATCCACCGCGACCGCGGTGGACCGCGGCAGGCCAAAGACGCGAGGCAGAAAGGTTGTCTTTCACCGCGGTCGCGCCGTGGTCTGCCGCGGCCGCGGTGGACTGTGCAGTTGCCCAGAACTTTTGGGGCCAAAGTGTAACTCGGAGAAAACTTATTCCAAATCCTTATAAACTCACGAAGCTCGCCCAAGAAAGTATCAAACTTGTTTTTAGACTACTTTGGAGGCAAGAACAAGTGTGAGAAGAACGACCAAACATTAGAGTTTTTCTATCTTCTCTTTATTATTGCATTACATTATGAATAATTTAGCAGTTTTATCTTGCTTTGTTATGAGTAGCTAAACATTTGATCTAGGGTTGATGGAACCAATTGTTGGATGGAGTTTTGACTCAACTTTGTTATAATCGAGCCGGGTTTATTATATGATTGTTCAACTACGTTTCGTATGGTGATTAATTGAATGGGCCCTTGATTAATCGTGTCTAATTGCCTTGTGTTGCTTGAGAAAGAATACTAGGTTAGACTGTTGTTGAACAACACCACTTTTGGGTAATTGAAGAGATTCATTACTTGAACTTAAAAGTGAGGTTAGAGATAACGAAACTTTGGTGGGATAAGTCAGAGCTGCACAAATTGTCAGCTATAGTAGTTCGAGAGAATGCTCTAGTAAATTATCGTAGTTGATCGAGAGATAATTACGATAACCCATAGCTCATAATCCTCATAGAGTATTACGGCGAGATTATAGCAAAAGAGTTAAGACTTAAACTAGCAATTGGGAAATCAATTCCCTAGACCTTTTTACCATTGAATTATCTTTGATTTAGCATATTGTTATTTTTAATATCATTTGAAGTAGTTAAACAAAAACACAATCTTTATTGATAAAAATCTTGCATCTGGAAATTATTTGAGTTGATAATAGCATTGCCAAGAGTTGTAATAGATAGGTTAGTTCCCTGAGGATTCGACTCCGGACTTAAAGCTGGATTATATTTGCAATGACCGCTTTGTCTTTTAGAAGACATAGTTGGGCGTGATCAATCTGTAAAGAACTTTTTAGTTCTTTAATATTTACCCATGTGAATTCTCTTTTATTTTTGCACATCATACTTAAATTAACATGGCTAAACCAATTATGCCAACTGAATAAATTATCAATATTGATAAACTTCAGATTTACACCATGACGTGTGCAATTATCAATAAACTCCAAGTTTATTATGATATGAGTTTTTTTATATCAATAAACATTCACTTTATTGTGGTATTATTTTATTTGTGTAGTACAAACTGGAGAATAAAGCGGGTAGCTTTTCACATACATATTACCCCGCTACAAGTTGTAGTAATAGAAGTTATTAAATCTTTTCTTTATTTATAGTCTCATTATGACCAACCGCTTTCGCAAATACTTTAGAAACTCAATTAAGTTTCTTTGAGACTTACTATTACACAATGCCTCATTGATAATCAATTTTATTCCTCCAAAATAGTAATAATTGGCTCTTTCAGAGCTCTCAATTAGTTTGGTACTACCACATATTCATCAAAATCCATATGGGGTATATCTCTTTTAAAAAGAAAGTTATACCATTATGGTTATGGTCAAAATTATATGCAAGATATGTTTCTTGCATTACCGTTGTCTTTTAATAATTACAATACCAAAATATTTTGGCGTACAATAGGTATGTGACCAAATCATTCATGCCATAATAATGACATTATTTTTCTATTTCCTCTCAAACCTCCTTCTAGAGGTGAGTGTGGTATATACCACTAGCACACTCATATTCTTCCAAAAATGAATATGTATTCATATATTAGATGTTGTCACATTCACATCATAAATGAACCATAATCATCTATATGTGTTTTATAAAATCTCATGTCAAATCGATGACAAATATTACTTTCACAGAGTGAAGGATTATTTTGAGAATCCTTATTATTCTCATTATCACAGTGATGACGATTATAATTTCGTCTATTGCCACGTCCACATCCATTGATACCTTCACGGTAATAATTTTGTCTTCTTTCAAACTTATTACATATTGCTACCACATTCTCTTAAGGGAATGAGAATGAATCAAATTCAATGGGACGGGTTTTCACTTCTTGTGCTCACGATCATACATGACTTTGATCATGGCAAGACATAGAAATTTTACCACGTCGGGTGGTTATAATTTCTCACAAACTCCATTAGAGTTGTAATCAAAATTTATTATTTTTGCTTGTATTTAAAATCAAATTATAGAAGTTAAGAATTTAAAAGAGAAAAATAAAGTAAAATACTTACCTTAAATCCAAAATTTAATCATGAAGAAAGTTCATGGAACAATTGACAAACGTCAATCCCAAAGCTTCTAGTCAATTTAGAGTCTCGTGCTGATAACGTGTTATGAAACAATAAAAGAAGAACAAGAACATTGCAGAGAAAAGTAGAGAGAGAGAGAGAAAAAATTCTTATTGCTTTGAGATGAATTACAATGGAATATGACCTCTCTATTTATTGGGAGAAAATGACTTAGCCACCAAGTAAAATCCCAAAAATCTCTCTAAAATATATACATTCACCCTAAATAAAACTCTATTTATAACAGTTTAGTCATAGAATTTGGCTTTATTTTTTCAAATTTTTTTGAAACATTGTTTGTTTATGAACTATGATTGTGTTTTGGGAAAGAAAAAATCAAAAATTTCCAAGTTCCCCAAAACTGGTTTAAGGCAGTTTTTGGGTGAAAGATTTTCTTTCACTCACAAAACTTCAACTTTTCTTCAAACAAAATGCATGTCCAAACATAACTTTAATTTTCAAAATTATTTTCAACACAACTTCAAAAACTCTTTTTTCAAGATTCAATCAAATCTATGTCCAAACACTAGCTAAATAAAATGTAAGATAATAAGAATATTAATACTTATACATAAATTTGTATACATCGTGTAAATATAGATCTCCACCTATGATTCATAAAAATGTGAGACTGAAAAGATAACAGATTTCAAACATTTGAATAAAAATACTTCAAAATTCTTAGCCAGAAGTCATGATCTTCGAAAAAATAGAAAACAAATTTAGCACATCCCAGCTTCTGACAAAACCCTGATGTCTCCATTGAGGCCATTTGCTTAAAAGAAGTAGCTTGCTTCGCATTTAAGATCTTTTTTTCTTTTTCTTGTAACGATAATATTACATTACTTCTGGAAGATATCTTCTTTTTTTTTTTGAATACTAGAGTTTGAGTTGATTTTAGGCATAATAATTTCCATTGCCCATTCAAGGATGTTTGGGGTGACCCCTCCCTTGTCTTGGTGTTGTGTAATCTGAACTAAAAATTGCATTGTAATAATGCTGCTGCTGCCTCATCTGTTTGCTGGCAATGTTGTTGAGATTTGTGGTTTAATAGCCTGTTTGGCCAATCTTTTCCAATCCTAAATTTTATTTTTTTTTGTGTTTGGCCAAGAAACCAGTTTTGGAGAAACATAAAAAAAAATAATTTCTCTTCAAAAGCACTTTTTTGAAAAAGCACTTTTGAGAAAAATACAAAATTTTAAAAAGCTTGGCCAAACACTAATTGCTGCTCAGAAGTGCTTTTCAAATTAATTAGCCAAACACAAACTGCTTCTCACGAAAAGCACTTTTGAAAAAAAATACTTCTCAAAATAAGCGTATTTTTGCAGCTTGGCTAAACAGGCTATAAATGTGCCAAGTCTGGGGTAATGAGGTACTATGCCTTAAATTTAATAAGTTCCGGTTTTAATGCATAAGTTGGACAATATGCAGAAATGCCCTAAGGACATAGCTAATTGCCCCTTAATCTTATCAATCCTTAGAAGAACATGTAGGATAACTATGAAAGAAATCACCAGCCTCTTAATTACTACATTAAAGATGGTTGCCAATTCAACAATGCAAAAAAGAAAAAAGAAAAAAAATGCAATAGGAAACACAAATTTATTCCTCAACTTCATAGAAGCCAAATTTGGTACGGAAAGAAAATCATATCTAATTATATAATTGATTGATTCATGTCTCTTATTTCCATTTATTGCCCCAGCATGAAACAGTTGGGAGGCTAAACTCCCAACTGATCTGTACTCTTGAGCAACATAGACATATCATAATATCATATGTGTATATATATATATATGTACTCAAAGCAGTCACATTCAATACCTTCACAATCCCAAACAAGACTATTGTACCCCCACCAAAAAAGTAGGAGCTAAACACACAAACAGACAAACTCATTAGTACACTATGTCTCATCCAATTTTCCAAGCTAACGAGAACAGCCCATACGGAGACCTTACAAGAGAAGAGTTTTACAAGCAACAGAAAATCATGCATAAAGAAAGCTTCATGTTAAACAAACAAAACATGAAGATATTCACACAATCTTGGCAGTCTGAAAGTATTCAGTCAAGAGGTCTTGTGGGCATGATTCATGGTTATACATCCGAAAGCAGCTGGCTTTTTGAGCTAAATGCAGTAGCAATGGCGAAAGCCGGATTTTTCGTTTGTGCTCTTGACCTACAAGGTCACGGTTACTCAGAAGGCTCACCTGGCTACATTCCGAGTATTCAACCCTTAGTCGAAGACTGCATACAGTACTTCGACTCTGCTCGTGCCAATCACCCGAAGCTCCCAGCTTTCCTGTATGGTGAGTCATTAGGTGGTGCAATTGCTACACTCATATGTCTAAGGCAAAAGACTGTATGGAAAGGTTTAGTTTTAAGTGGACCAATGTGTGGAGTGTCAAAGAAATACAAACCTGTTTGGCCACTGGAGAAGCTACTACCGTTGGCCGCCTTCGTAGCACCATCTTGGAGGATTGTGATCACCAAACCACCTGGATCAAAATCATACAAGGAGGGATGGAAGAGAAAAATAGTCTCAAAAAGTCCAAATTGCGTGGCTTCCCAAAAGCCACCAGCTGCCACTGCATTAGAGCTTCTCAAAGTCTGTAAATATATACAGAGGAACTCTCATGAACTAGAAGTCCCTTTGCTGATTCTTCAAGGTGGGGATGATAAGGTATGTGATCCTGAAGCTGCTACACTTGTGTATGAATCAGCAGGAAGTAAAGATAAGACTATGAAGATTTTCCCAGGAATGTGGCACCAATTGATAGGTGAACCAAATGAAAGCGTGGAGCTTGTTTTCAATACTATGTTGTCATGGCTTGACGTGAGAGCCGACTTGGCAAAAATCTAATAGATATGATCTTGAGTTATTCAGATGTTTATACACATCGTCAGAAACTCTCTTTCATGTACACATAACCTACGGCGAATAACTTGTAAAAGCTACTGGCAATTACTGATATTGCCAGAGCCGTTTCTGGCCTACTAAGGTAGTATGCATTTCATAATGCCGCTCCATATGCTTAAATGATGGAACTTCTTAGCAAGATGATAATTGCTTTGGCACCGTTAATTTTCAAAAGTAACTACTACTCAGAATCAGTTATTTCATTTGACTTCCTGCAATAATGATGAGCTTCTACAATGACTAGCAAAGACTAATAAACAAGAAATAACAGAAATTGGGGAAAGAAGTGCACTACGATATTCAACTTCATGATCATTCAGATTCAATGAATCAGGATGTTATTTAGCTTGATGGTACATAGAATAAAGAAGAATTTGTATGGGTATATATGAGTAACGAAATAAAAGTATCTCGTCGATTACAACTTAATGGGGAAATAACTAATACACATTTATTAACCTGAGATGGAGAATTAAATGGATAATTTATGTGAGGAACAGCTGAATATTATTTTTGATTGTTGAGGAACAGCCGCATAGTTTCCGAGCACCATGTCAAATAATTCCCAGTATTTGTTTCTATGTATTCTCTTACCATGTCGTTAGTTGCTCAAAACAAATGCAAGAGGAGAATTTGGCGGAGTCATAGTCTGCTGGGCTGTAGCTGCCTATAAGACATAAGTTCTGCTCTGACTTGATCTCTTCTTAATTTCCCTGTTGTTGTCACTGGAAATTGATTTTTCCACAATACAAAGTTCATGGGTATTTTGAACCTGCAAAATATTACAGCACATGTCATCAATATGAATCAGATCACGCGAGGCATCAATAGAGGGGTGAGATTGGAGTGGAGTATGAGATAGCCTTGCTGCAATCGAATTCCCTTGACTAACATAGAAAAAGAAGAATACCCCGTCAAATCTTTCGCTCTACAGAAGTTCTGGAGGAGAGTGCTGGACAGACAATTCTCCTTCTTGTTAACCGGATGATTAGAACTCGAATCAGTCCACTGCCAATTGTCTTTGAGCCTAATACAGGCAACAACCATCTCGGTCAAGCGAGAGTCAGGAAGCCCAATAACAACATTAGCAGATATCCCTGGATGTTGGGATAAGACAGCTTCCACCTGAGCCACAAACAAACTTACTAAATGCATTTATAGGCAATTACGTTCATATAGAAACAATTCAAAAAGAGTTCATGGTGTTCCATTACCAAAAATTAGTTATAATATATCCATCATTTGGTGATCAAGTAATAAGATTTCAAGTAGGTGGTTCTCTTTGTGATTGATAGCTCAATGGAAACGAAGAAACGAAGGAATTAAAGTCTGGATGCTTACCTCTTCCGGATAAACATTTTCACCCCCACTCTTTATTCGACCCATCAAACGCCCAATGAGCCAGACGTTTCCACAATCATCTATATGCCCTATATCACCAGTGTCAAGCCAACATTCATCAGTTGGAGAAGAATTCTTGCTTGGCATTTGACCCCAGTATCCAAGCATTACATGGGGTCCTCGTGTCAAAATCCTCCCTATACAAGAGGAATCATCCCCAGCAATCCTTATTTCAATATGTGGAGCAGGCTTTCCAACACAGATACTATCTGGTTTATGTGTCAAATTGGAGCTATTGGCACAAGAGTTCTGGACACAGCTCTCTTTCGTCGGGTCATAAAGAGTCATGAAAGTTAGAGAAGAACATGCCTCGGTCATTCCTAAAGAACATTTAAAGAATGCTTATCAGGAGAGCACGACTGACACAGAATGCTTTGTTTATCGAAGGGTAGATATTCGTGAAGCTAACTATACAAAATACGCCAAGAAGGTTTAAGGTTAGGATTTGTGCCACTATAAATTTGTAAAGCATAATGTCTAGTGGATGATATGTATCATACATCAGGAACACTACTTTAAAACTTACGATCTCCAGCTATCAACAGAATATTTTGTTCAGAAAGGATAATTTTGGAGAAGATGGGGAATATAAGCAGTCACCATACCATAGGCTGAAAGAAGTTTAGCCCTCGGGAAAATCTCAATCGCATTTTTGATAAGATCAGATGAAAGACCCCCAGCTCCATTAAGAACCTTCTTCACAGATTTGGACCCTACATATATGTGCTTTGTCCTACAACAAGTGAAAGTAGAATCAAATATTTGCACTTATCATGAACTCAGTGGATGTGCTAAGATGTCCATGGAGAGAAACCTAGAAAAGAATCAAGCACCGCTCGAAGCTGGGCAAAAAGAGATCAAAAATTCTTTTAATCTTCATCAGGACATCACAAAAGTATTCCTTGTAAAATCTAAAGGAGATAATGTCACAAATTGATATTGGTAGTAACTTCCAAGGAAAAAGCCCGATTAACCAATCATATGGATGCCCATACAGTTATTATTCACTTCAACTTTGTTCAAAAGATAAATCCTATTGAAATTCGTCTTTGCATCGTGTAGGACAGCTGAGTGCTTTACCTATAAAAAGAGATTAGATCAGACATCATAGCTGGAACTGTGATAAAAGAAGTAACATTATGCTGCTCTATGGATTCAATAGCCAATTTAGCTTCAAACTTTGGCAGTAGAATATGACAACCCCCTGCCATTAACATGGCCAAGGCTGATGATATACCACCAATGTGGCACAGTGGTGCAGTGTGTAAATAGACCTGCAAGAAACCATAACACGAATCATCTTGGCATGTGTTTCAAACATTTGGGGTACTATATCAAGGTTTGAGACATTCATATCATGTTTTATCATAGTAGATAAGCATACATCATCCTCACCGTAACCAACAATTGCAATTTTTGCAAGAGATTGAACCACCAAAGCTGAATGGCTTATGGTAACTCCCTTTGGCCTCCCGGTGGTTCCTATTGTCATTAGGAAACAGAAAAAAAAGATAAAACAAGTCAAAGGACTTACGAATACTCCTTGTACCAGAACAGCAGTTCTATGATTCAACCCACACCACATATTTCTCAGCGGAGCAAATGGTTAGTATGACATACAAAATGACCATTTCCTTGCTCATGGATTTTGCTAATAGCCAAATAACTTTACTGAGACTACAAAACAAGATATTTGTCTAATCTGACCCAGATAATATTTTGAGGGAGAAAGTACGTTCCTTAGTTTAAAAAGAGGTTTCCACTACTAGATTTCTCTTAGAACTTCATTTTGTCAATCTCCTTCGATGTGAGAGGATTTGAAGATCAGTTTCTGGATTAGGGGAAAAGAAAAGGAACAACAAGAAATAAGCATGTAGAAAGATAGTTAGCATATACCTGAGGTAAAGCATATTATAGCAGCTTCCTGAGGTGCCCACAGGTAGTCTGCTACTAAATGCCTTTTGAAACTTCTTTTAAGCTGTTTAGTAGTTAGTCCTGGCGGATGTATAAATGATAAATTAATAAACAGAAGAATACAATCTTTTAATCTATATCAATTCTGGTCATGAATGCTTTAACACATACCAATCTTAGTGCTATTAACTACACTAGGATTATCCATTAGGACTTGCCACCTCAGAGAAGGCACAGAATCATCATAGGACCCGAACTTCCAGAAATTACAGGTTGCATCGTGGACCAACATTGTTGGCTTTGCTACCTGAAGAGCTGTTCTTGCTTCTTCCAAGCTCTGCATGCTGAGAACAGTTACTAGGAGAACATGCCGGAACAGTTTCTTCAATCTTATATTATACAGATATTGATGCTTTGCTGTGATAGAAAGTACTTAACCATGATAATCATTTTCAGTTTCCTCAAAGTCAAGTTTACGTACGTTTAAACTGTTTACAAGCAAGAGCTATGGAACATGGTTTTTTCATATTGAGTAAAACTAAACCATGCAACAGGTATGATATTGGTACTATGTGCGAATCCTTAAATAAGAAACTACTTAAAGTTGAAAATTCCAGGTGCATGCGTAGCAGAATAGGATAGTGATACTTCTAGGCAACTCCACTTAACACAGAGCAAGAAAGAAATTAAATAACTGTTACTGATATTGAAATTCACCCATTAATCAAGGAGAGTGAACGCTTAAACTTCAAAAGCCGGAAAAAAAAAAACCTTAAAAAAATTGTGTTTTCAAGGGTCATCCTAGAGAAAATTAATGATGACAGTAGTTGGATATGTGTGCCTTTTTAAATGCAAATATCCAGCTACAATCAGCACTAACTTTCTGTAGAATGATTTCACATCCTCATTATCTTGAATTAGATTAGAGAAAATAAGAAACTACAAAAAATAGTTTTCCAGTTATGTCAGCAGCAAATGGAAGATAAGAGACATAGGTGCTTTGCTTATTTACCCAACGGTAATTGAAAGGTGCAGTAATTCCTCCTACATACGCCACTGCGAGTAACCATTCCAAGTACAGATCACTGCAACAAAAATTGGATGATGAAAAAGAATTCCTAACAATTCAAGAGTAGTTCACTGGCAAGTATGATGCAGTCAAATTTGAGTACCTTATGACTATTTCCAGGTTTAAATTCATTTTTCATGACTCCTCTTTTTAATTAAATGCTCAAGGTTCGTTATTTAAGAAGAAAGCTAATATCATAAAATAAGATGATAACATTAAGCAAATTGTATTGATTAATATGTAAAATAACAGTTCCTCGCAAACAAATGATTAACTAGCACTAGGATCATGCATAATGCACCAATAACTTTGAATTTGAAGCTTCCATATACTTTATTATCTTTCTCTAACAAAATATACCATCGAAATGCTAAAATTTATTTTTGAAATACCGAATATGTTAACAACTATAGTTTATTATGTAATTTTAACCATCAAAATCAACCTACAAAGAAATAATGTTCAAAGGAGCGAAAGGTATTCCAACATAATATGTTGGAAGTGGCGAGAGTTCCATAATTCAACATATTAAATAGTGGTTATTTTTAAACAACTTTACAAACACCGGCTATTTTTCCCATAACCATCCCAAAAATGGCCCATGTGGTACTGGGGACTGGGAAGGGTAAAAGGTACAACCACCTAATGCAATGAAAGTTGTACATTAGCAGCTAGAACTAAAATGGCAGCAGATAATAATAAGAACCTGTTAAGAGCAGAAATGGCAACTACGTCACCGGGCTTAAGGCCCAGTTGAAGAAGCCCATGGGCCAGGCCCAAAACTCCTTCAACAAATTCCATGCCGGTCTTCCTCCTTTCTCCCATTATCATCACCGTTGAGTTCCGGCGAACCGTCAGCAACCGGCTCAAACACTGGCAAACGTGAGCCTTTGAGTAATTAGCCATTTCTTTTGAGGATAAATTCGGAATTTCGTTATTTTCCTTAGCGTTTGAGCAAACAAAACAGCAAATTTTTTTAGCTCAGTATTCAGTTTTGCATGTCTCGTTTTTGAGAATGAGCGATAAGAGTTTCATTTGGAGTTGACTATCGTTTAGTTGTCTTCAAACTAATTGGATAACAATATTCTTTGAGGGTGAAAATACATTGTGTCCATAGCATAATATTGACCATTCAAAAAATTGGCCATTTATAGTTTGGAGAGTCAATTTGGTTAACATTTTGAAAACAATATTAAGAAATTAGACAATACTTTATTTCTTGATTTTTCTAAGTGAATTGTTCAAACAATGAAGAAAATATTTATTTTTTAAATAATTCATATCGTCAAGTTCCATAATCCCTCAATCATCACCCACTACTGTCAATATGTCTCGTGATAACAAAAAGAAAGAATTAACCCAAAAAGTATCCCAACTAATCTGTTAAACTAAAAATAGCCTACAATATCTAATATTTATATATTTTATGTATAATACATGTATAACCGTGTATAATTAATGTATAATCTATGTAAAAATCGCCTACCTAATATGAAAAAAGAGCACATCTTAAAAATTGCAGGTAGAAATTTAGTACATAGACACATGAATAAGTGTAAATTTGGCAGATGGAGTCGTTTAGTTGGGAAACAAATTATCCCATGATTAGTTATCTCGGAATTAGTTATACCATCCATCCATGAGAATAAAAAAACATTAATCCCATAATTAATTATATCACAATTTTATCCCAACCAAATTCGGAATAAACCCGTCTCAATTTAATTTCGAAATTGATTATACTACTAGTACTTTATCAAGGAATGCACAGAAAAAATTGAAGGAAATTTGCGTGAGAAAATGCCCAAGGAGAGACGTTGAAACTGGATGGTTGGTTTATGAGGAGTTGCGGTGTGGAGTACACTGGCTCTGGTTTCGGCTCCGGCTCCTATCCCTATCTTATCCTTTACAAATTACTAGTAGTCGTACCCGCGCGATGCGCGGTCAGTATTAAAAAATATTAATTAAATTAAATTAAATTAAATTAAATTATGATAGGGCTTGTTTGATCTTATTAGATTGTATTGCTTTAATAAAATTCAATTGTCATCTTACTTGTCAATACGATATACCCAATAATGAAATCTCTATTAAATCAAAGGTACTTATATAGTTAGTGAATAACTTTTTTGTTCTATATATTTTTTTATTATATTAACCAATATTTAATATTCACTTTCTTTTTGTCATATATGAGAAGATTTATAATTTATTATTGTTGAAATTTTTTTTTATTTTAAATTTTATTCTATTGTTCTTAATAATATTATCTAAATTTTAATGAACAAAATCTCTATTAAACTAACGGGACTTATACAGGGAGCGCATTGAATAATTTTTTTGCTATGTATTTTTCTTTATTATATCATCTAATATTTAATATTATTACATTGTTAATAGAAAGTTTTATTAGCATATTACTTTATTAAATATTTTTCTCTGAAAGTTTTTTATTTCTTTATTTTCGTTTTATTTATTTCAAAATAATTTTAAAACTCCAACTTGAAACTAATCCCCAATTTGAATTGTTAATTTATTATGTATTTAATTTCGTTTTATATTTTAAAATTATTTTAAAACTCCAACTTGAAACTACATCCCGATTTGAATGGGTAGTTATTATTTTATATATTTATTTTCGTTTTTTAATTATATTTAATTATAAGATATCTATATTTATTAATTCAAATAAAGTAACCAATGAATATATATATCTATATATATGTTAGTTTTTATTTTATTTTATTATTTTCATTTTTTATATATATTTAAATTCAAAAATAATAACCAATAACTAATTATAAACTAAATAACTAATTATGCCATGTGGCATTTTTTTAGGTTGCCACTTGGCTTAAGGAGAGGGCTTTTTCCTCTCCTTTTAATAATATATAGATATAGATATAGAAGATATAGATTTTAAAACTCCAACTTGAAACTACTTCCCGATTAGAATGGNATCAAAGTAGGAAAGCTGTGGTTAATCCTAATTATCACATTGCTTAATAAATTATCTAATAACTGAAATATCACATATTGATCCAAATATATTATTCTTGTTTCAATGACACAAGTACAGAGCAAATGAGCTTTCATACACAAGATTATTACACACACGACACCTATATCGCGATTTCTATGTAGTGAATAATTTCATGTCTTCAAACCAACATTTATTATGAACCTAAAACAGAAACAAAGGAAAAGAAAGATTGAAAGTTACGGACCTTTTGCAGGGCAGTGAACTAAGGCGGGGTCTTAGATGCACTATTGAACTCCGACCATGAAATCACTACCTTATACGATCGCCAGTCGCCGTTATAAGCAAATAACCTTTGTAATGGCTAAAAATCCAGCATAGGCAGAGACACCAAGAGAACGAAAGGAGCTCGATTTTTAATTAGAGGAAAAGAAATACTAAAGTAAGTTTCGAGAGAATAGAGGCGGTTGAAAACTCTCGAATTTGGGGTGAAAGTAAGCCGCTCCAAAACTTCTGGGTTTTTGAGTGAAAGGGCGGCTTAACAACCATCAATTTCCTGGGTAAATGGGCGGCTGAACTATCAGTTTTTGGGGTAAAGGGGCGGCTCTGAGCTTAAGGTTAAAGGAGGGGGCTGAAGCTTGTCCGAAATAGCATCCAAACGCCGGTATTTATAGGTGTAAAATTAGGGTTCTTGACTTGGGCGGGATTTTGAAATTCAGATCTTTAATTTCGATCAATATATCCGTTTGAATTTGGACGTTGGGGATTTGGATCTTCACGTGATCTCAAAGAGACAAAAGTTGGAAAGTCAAAGCTCTGCCATGGCTTATGCAGATGTTGAGCTTTCACCAAAATAGGAAGAAATAGGAAGATGTGCATCTGATGGAGTAGGGTTAGAGATATTTTAGATACACTAATTCCTAAAAGGCTCATAGGGCTGATCTTTGTTGGGCCGATTTTGGTTCATTTTGTGGAGGATTTGGGCCAATGTACACAAATTGGAATTGGGCAGAATATTTAGGTTGTAATTTGGGCCTTTTTCCATTCTTCAAATTAATTCTTTTGAGCTTCTATTTAGATAAAATATTTTAATAATCATATTATATAATACTAGATAATATTAACATGTGAAAATATCCCTTATACTAATATAAGTATAAAACTATAATACTCTTGGAACAAATATTTATAAAACATAGCATTGAAGAAACATTACTATTTTACTAAATAAAGAAGAATAATATGTTTTGTCACAAAAGGCGATAAGCATGAATGAACGAGTGAATAATAATAATAATAATAATAATAATAATAATAATAGTAATAATAATAATAACAATAATAGTAATAATAATAATAATAATAGTAATAACATTAAGTACTAGTAATAGTGATATTAAGTAAATAATAATAATAATAATTTGGTCTAGTTTGTGCTAAAAATGGTAAAATAATTATTCTTGCATTATTAGTGCTATTAGAAGCTTAAAGAAATAGTTTGGAAGAAAGGAGGGGACAAAATTGGATGTCAACACCAAATATTCTGAAAATGTCGCTACATTGAAGCCTCAAACACTGTAATTTTTCGTTCCATTAATATGCTTAACATTTCTTTCCTAATCGTCCTTCTCAGATTCCATGCAAGGGGAGTTCTGATGATGGTGGGTATATTTTAGGGCTTCTTTTAAATACAGCAGTTTGGTGAAGATTCTGGTCTAAGCAGTTCCCTTCTTTCTACAACAGTTTATTTCGGTTAGTTACAGTTTTAAAATTTCTGTAAATACTGGACACAAGTGAACGTGGGTTCATGGATTGTGTATGGCTATCATATTTATCTTTTTATTTTAAATTTTAGTATTACGAAAAGGTTAGAAAAAAATAGCATAAATACTAACCGTTAAATATTGTTGAAAATATCCTAAATTGTTTAAATTTTGTCTTAAAGATGTGTCAAGTGGCAATATATTAAGCTTCTACTTCGTTAAAAATAAATACTTGTCATGTAATGGTAATAATACTTGGCATCATGGCATTATTTTGCCTCTTTTTTAATTTATTTTTAATATAGATAGATTCTTCGTGAAATACTTTGTAAAATAAAATTGCAATTGTAAGTCTGTAAGATTATATAAATAAAATTTTAAAAACGGTTAATTCCAAATGTGGGAGAAAGTAATTAATTTTTTGGAATTGTCAGGTTTAATAAATAAATAAAAAGCAAATAAATTTTGAATTGACAGTTTTTTATTTTTGTAATTTTAGTTTATTATTTTAAAACTCCAACTTGAAACTACTCCCACCCAACGTGAATGTGTAGTTATTTTTTATATATTTATATTTTCAATTTTTTTATCATAACTAATTATGAGATATCTGTATTTATTAATTAAAATAAAGTAACCAGTATATATATATATATATATATATATATGTATATATAGTAGTTTTTTATTTTTTATTATTTTCGTTTGTAGGTATTTAAATTCAAATATAATAAGTAATAACTAATTATTAATTAAAAAACTAATTATGCCATGTTGCTTTTTTTTATGCTGCCACTTGGCTTAAGAAGAGGGCTTTATCCTCTCCTTTTAATAATATACAGATATAAATAGGACGATTGTGAAACAGAGGAAATCAAGAAGAATGGAAGAGAAAATGATCAAAACGGTCCTTAATATACTGGGGTTGGACTATTTTAGTCCTTGATATTTATCACATAACAGATATGATCCTTGATGTATACAAAAAGTATATGCTTTCGGTCTTCAAATCTAGTAGTAGGTGTTTGGACATAAAGTTTGTATTTTTTGAAAAAATGTAGTTTTTGGAGTTAAGTTAAAAAATAATATTTGAACATGCATTCAGTTAAAAAAAATACTGCAGTTTTGTGAAAATTTTGAAGAAATGGTCAAAATTACTTTTTGGTTTTTGAAAAACTCATTTTTGAAATTTTTTTTAAAAACTTGCAAAATTTTTATGGACAAATACATTTTTTTTTTAAAATTCAAAAACAAAAATGTTATGGACAAACTGGTCCCTGAAACTAACGATAAAAAAAAAAAAAAAAAAAAAAAAAAAAAAAAAAAAAAAGAACTCAGCTAAGAAGAAGGCTGATCCATAAGTTTTCAGGACTTTTTCGAAATGG